CGTAGTACGTAGTAGTAGTACGTAGTAGTAGTAGTAGTAGTAGTACGTAGTACGTAGTAGTAGTAGTAGTAGTAGTAGTAGTAGTAGTACGTAGTAGTAGTAGTAGTAGTAGTAGTACGTAGTAGTAGTAGTACGTAGTAGTAGTAGTACGTAGTAGTAGTAGTAGTAGTACGTAGTAGTAGTAGTAGTAGTAGTAGTAGTAGTAGTAGTAGTAGTAGTAGTAGTAGTAGTAGTAGTACGTAGTAGTAGTAGTAGTAGTAGTAGTAGTACGTAGTAGTAGTAGTAGTAGTAGTACGTAGTAGTAGTAGTAGTACTAGTAGTAGTAGTAGTAGTAGTAGTAGTAGTAGTAGTAGTACAGTAGTAGTAGTAGTAGTAGTAGTAGTAGTAGTACGTAGTAGTAGTAGTAGTAGTACGTAGTAGTAGTAGTAGTAGTAGTACGTAGTAGTAGTAGTAGTAGTAGTAGTAGTAGTAGTACGTAGTAGTAGTAGTAGTAGTACTAGTAGTAGTAGTAGTAGTAGTAGTAGTAGTAGTAGTAGTACGTAGTAGTAGTAGTAGTAGTAGTAGTAGTAGTAGTAGTAGTAGTAGTAGTAGTAGTAGTAGTAGTAGTAGTAGTAGTAGTAGTAGTAGTAGTAGTAGTAGTAGTAGTAGTAGTAGTAGTAGTAGTAGTACGTAGTAGTAGTAGTAGTAGTAGTAGTAGTAGTAGTAGTAGTAGTAGTACGTAGTAGTAGTAGTAGTAGTAGTAGTAGTAGTAGTAGTAGTAGTAGTAGTAGTACGTAGTAGTAGTAGTAGTAGTAGTAGTAGTAGTAGTAGTAGTAGTACGTAGTAGTACGTAGTAGTAGTAGTACGTAGTAGTAGTAGTAGTAGTAGTAGTAGTAGTAGTAGTAGTAGTACGTAGTAGTAGTAGTAGTAGTAGTAGTAGTAGTAGTAGTAGTAGTAGTAGTACGTAGTAGTAGTAGTAGTAGTACGTAGTAGTAGTACTAGTAGTAGTACGTAGTAGTAGTAGTAGTACGTAGTAGTAGTAGTAGTAGTAGTAGTACGTAGTAGTAGTAGTAGTAGTAGTAGTAGTAGTAGTAGTAGTAGTAGTAGTAGTAGTAGTAGTAGTAGTAGTAGTAGTAGTAGTAGTAGTAGTCGAGATAGTAGTAGTAGTAGTAGTAGTAGTAGTAGTAGTAGTAGTAGTAGTATAGTAGTAGTAGTAGTAGTAGTAGTAGTAGTAGTAGTAGTAGTAGTAGTAGTAGTAGTAGTAGTAGTAGTAGTAGTAGTAGTAGTAGTAGTAGTACGTAGTAGTACGTAGTAGTAGTAGTAGTAGTAGTAGTACGTAGTAGTAGTAGTAGTAGTAGT